TGTCAAAGGCCAGGGCAAAACTAGGGTAAAGATTACTATTAAATTTTGCTGGGTAAACAGAAAATGAGACCGAGAGAGAAGAATAATTTGTTGTGGATAGAATTTACACTCCTCATTTATCGTACCAGGGAGTAATTCTCCTGCAACCACCAGGGCAAGAGCCCGGTAGGCTACTCGCAGAGAACCAACCTGCCCGTGCTCTCACGCTGAATAGCATGTCAAGGTTCCTCTGCTCCACTCTGGAGCCCTCCTCAGCTCTGTGCTGCCCGCTGAGGACCTCTGCCTTATTTTCCCAGTGAGAATCCTTCAGCCAATTGGTTGAAAACGAGGGAGGCAAGAAGAGCAGCTAATTCTTGAGCGCCTTTTTGTGAGCAGCCTTTCAACCACATGATGGGAGACGGAATCGATGAGAGGCACACACTGTGGTCTCTGACAGTCCAAAACTGCTGAATGAATCGGAGACTGCAATGACTGCATTTGCCTAATTAAGAAAATGGGGTTGGGCTAGCTGGAAAGCAGGCTCAGAGTTGAAAACCTTGTTCAATTAGAGCTTGATTTCCAGCATGCTGGTCAGATGGCTCACACCCACTTGTAACTTCAGCTGCAGGAGAACTGATGCCCTCTTCTGTCTCCTGAATCACAAATGAGCATGCTCCCAAATAGATACATAGTTAAACATAAGATAAATACTTTTATAAAGTAAATGGATTGGGGAGGTGACCATAGCTCTGTGATAGGGCCCTTGCCTAGCATGTATGAGGCCCTACATTCAGTTTCCAAGCACCACAGAGTGGCGAGGAGAGACTTGTCCCAAAAGAAATACAATCAATGTCAAGTCTAGCAAATTAAGAAAACGAGGTCTCTGGGTTGTTCAAAAACACTGGAGCGAGAGTGTCATCCCTTAACATTTGGAAGGGAGACATAGGTTGAAACTCTTCCATTTGGGGGTGTATAAACTCAATAGATTATCTAATATCTGACTCGGGATTTCCCTTGTTAAAGCAGTTTATAGTATACTTTTTAGGGCTATTGAGAAGTTACAATGAACTAAGGAACATATAGCATTGATAAACTGTTACAGAATGCTAGTCATAGCTCCCCAGTTCTGGGGAGGCGGGTGCATGCATGAACAGCCTGCTAGACCACGTGGGGCTGAACATAGGCACCCGCCTCCCCCTGAGATATGAGGAAGGTGTTCAGCACTGTCAAGTATTGTTAAATATTAAGTATTAATTAGGTATCGATAAAAATATCAGTCCTATGTCCAGCTTTCTTAAGTCTTCCTTATAAACAAAAGTTTTACTGTGTTCAATGAATGATTAAAACTGATGAAGCAGGCTGATTGACAGGCCCACCTTCCCTTCTGTCTGGGTAGCCTTGAGTGGGGAGCTGACAATCAAACAGTCCCTTCACTGGTAGCAGGCTGGATGGCTCTTGGAAGCCAGATGTTGAGAAACTTTCTAACAACTCTCAAACTCTTTAGCAGCTGGAGAGGAAGACACGTTCCAGCTATAATCCTGTATGCCAGACAGTCTGCACACGCCTAGAAAAGTGGACCCCTAAGCAAGACGAGCATGGTAAATTCTAGATGACCTTGCATAGGCTGCAGTCATTTTCACTAAGGCCAGAGGCGGGGCAGCGCACTTCCACTAAGGTCTGAGATTAATGCACACAGTCCTTCACTGTGTCGAGATTATTGGGATGGGGGCCGGCACACTCGCCACACTCCCTGATCTGCCTTTTCCTCATCTGTCAGGCAGCTGTCCAGCCACCCCACCGGCCAAGCTACAGCCACTCAGCTGCCTCCACTTCACTGCCGCTGGTATGTAGGCTGATTGTTTGCGACCAGTTCAGCCATGCTACACAGACCGGAAAAGACCACTCAAGAGGAGCCTTTTGTTGACCCTAATATTTTAACACAAGATGGGCAGCACATGAGAACATCTCACAGACAAATCTCCAAGTGAACAATCCAGTTATGTGTCCGGAAGAAAGCCTGCAAATTAAAGCGGACCTCACGTGCAAATGAAGGGTTATGATTGTACCAATCGTCTCACGTGCGCCAGCCACAGCAGTCCCTCTGCTAGGCCACAAGGGGGAGATATTTCCTCTCTGGCCTAGGTGGGAATGGTTGCTGCAATTCTTGTGTGGTTTCCTCAAGGCATCTGTAGAGAATTCAAAGTGGGAGCGCTGGTATAAAAGACTTCGGCGGGCTGTTCAGCTGACAGCGCTTTTGTTTAAGGCAGCCAGGGCAGCAAGAGACATCAGAGTCTCTGCTTATTCCCAAGAACATGAGCACGAGAAGGTGCACTTCCAGGAAGAACCTGAAGGAGTTACTGTGAGCATTTATCACTGATTGTTAACAGTGCTCTAATGGTGCTTAACACCTGCCTAGCGCTCAGGGAGAGGGAGGTGTCCCGCGGCTTTTGCAAATCTATGGAGACTTAACTCACAAAAGATGAAGGCACAGCTCATATGAGCCCAAAGTCTATGGTAGAAACTGATATTAAATTAGTAATGTCAAAAGAATCCCAGGAAAGTCTAAGTTGCAGGAGTTCAGTACGATATCACCTGAAGGTAAGACAGGCTGATGGGAGTCAACAATGTCTACAAAGGTCCTAGGTGGGGAAGGTTCTGTGAGTCAGCCAGGAAAGGGAAAACATGCAATAGTTGTTACACAGACCAGATTACAGTCTGGACACTCGTGGTCATGAATATTTCAGAGAAACGATCCTTTGATATTAGTATGGTCCATGCAATGTTTGAGACAGACTTATATTGATGATGACTATTTGTTTGTCTGAAGTTCTTATTTTGACTTGAAGTTCTGCGTCTTGTCCAACAATGTAGCAAGAAAGTTTTCCAGGTCACCCACAGTTGCTCTTTACAAACATGGCCTTCAAGCGAAGCTCAAAATAGAAGCTTCACACTTTCTGTAGTCTGTACTGCTTTCGTGAAAAACCATACCATCTAGGTTCTTGAAGAAGCCCATCACATAGACAAAGCAAAATATAACTGAAACCTTTCAAGCTTTAATTGCAACTTTGAGAGGGCGCCTTTAACCAGTTGTTTTGTAAGAGCAGCGGCAGCGGCGGTGAAGGGGTGGTGGTAGCTCCTCCATCGTGGCAATAAAACACAGACCTGAGTCCAAGGGGACAGCTGGGACAACAAGAAAAGGGGTGGTAGGAATACAGAAGGCAAACACTAAAGTCGTGGGCGGGACAAAGGGTGAGGTTGATGAACTGAGGCTGGACCTCAGTGGGTAGAATGTTGATCTCAGGCACGCGGTCCTGTGCTCAATTTCCAACACTACATAAAACTGGGCTGCTATTGCATGTCCTGCAATCCCAGAACTTGAGAAGTAGAAACAGGAGGATCACAAGTTCAATGCTACCCTCGGCTCGCTCAAGTTCAAGGCCAGCATGGGCTGGCTACCTGAGATCCTGTCTCAAAACGAGAGCAGGGAGGAGGACTGGGCACGGGTTGGAGTGGGGGCTCCAGAATGCAGAAACTGAAGGCGGGCGGACCATTAAAAGGGTCATGGAATAAAAACCACAGCCCGGCCACTTAGAAAAGCTCCGGAGAGTGGTCTAGTTTTCAACCACAAGGGTCTCAAATACTTTGGGCCCAGAAGTCAAGAGCTGAGGAATTCTCAGTTCCTAGAGCTATACAGGAGCCGTAACACTAGAGGGCGCCACCTGCTGCCGGTCCCACCTGCCTGCTGCCGCTACTCACTACCATTAAACACAAATAACACTGAAGCAGCCAAAGGTCAGCAGGACCGGCAGGAATTCTAACCTGCACGGGATTTCAAAACAGGTCAAGGCTAATGGATCTCAGCCAACTTATGGCTAACAGTTTGGGATACAGCCTGACCACAGACACAGCACAAAAATGTTAACCTCGGGGGCAAGAGGAATGGATCAGCAGTCAGGAGCTTGGCTGCTTCTTCAGAGAGCCTGGAACGGGCACCATATGGTGGTTCAAAACCATCTGTAATCTAGTTCCAGAGGATATGATAACCTCTTCTGTTCTCTGCAGGCACCAGGTAATACACGGGGTAAACATCCATATGCAGAAAATGAAAAGGAGTGAATCCATTTTAAAAGTCACCTTTAAATGTCTATAGCAAATTTCTAACAAACAAACAAAATGATAAACCCCCAAATACTCATCACTCTGCCAACAACTTCCTTCTTCCACACATGGAGGGTAAGTTAAATTGGTCCCCCCAAAGCAAGCCCACGTTGAAATCCCCGGGTCCTGCCTGTGACTGTGACTCTCCCCGGGGAGAGGTTCTGGAAAGATGCACGTACGGGTTTTCCAATAAGAAGATTGTGATTTATTCAGACAAACTTTAACTCTAACGATCGGTGCCTGGATGAGAGGAAGGACAGTAAAAGCCACCCCTGACTGCTGTGCCCAGGCCTAAGACAAGCCAGAAAGATGTGACTACATCTGGCTTCAAACGGATACAACTACTTAGAGGCTGTGAAAAACAGGCACATTCTGGAATCGCTCTAACTTTCTATGTGCACTTTTTGCATGCTAAGGCTTTAACCATTACATTCCCTTGAGGTCATTTTCCAGTGACGTTTTGTATGATGCTGAGAAGATCAGAATTCATGAGCTCAACCTGCAACCTTCACCAGAACTCCAGCTTCAGGGGATGGAAGTCCGGGCGTGTGGCTGGGAGATTAACGTCTGTGAGAAGTTAGAAAATCAGAACGTCCGCAGGTGGCATAGGGGAACTATCTTGGCACCATGGTTTACAGTCGGGTAGGGACAGCGAAGGCCTTTATTTCTGCACCGTAGCAAGGAAATACAGGGTAGGGAAGTCTGCCCTGTGGATGCACATACAATCATCGGCTCTCCTGGGCCTGAACTGAGGCTAAAGAGGGAAAAGAAACCACGGACGGGAAAAGAACTACACGCAAGCGCAGTACCTCATTCCGGAAGCAATCTCAGCGCAGGCGCACTCCGGCGGAGCCCCCTCTTACCCTGCGGGCCGGCGTCCAGCAGCGCGCATGTGTAGTTCACTAAATTCAGTTCTGTCTAGGAACGTGGGTGCCACCCGGCAACCTAGAGAGTCCGTGCAGGCAACTCTCTCCTAGATCCAGCCTGGATCCTGCTGCCTCCTGCCGGGCTGGCTGACGTCTGCAGCGGGTGCGTTATCTAGTGCATCATCAACTAGATCCCAGACGGAAAAAAAGACTTTTAGCAGGAAAGAAGTTTTTGTTTTGGGGGACCCACCCTGGCGGAACCGCTACCAAAGCCAAACAACGCACTCGCTGTCTATAAATTGTTCCTGTTTTCAGTGGAGGGAACCGACGTTCCAAGAGGTGAAGTACGATTTCCAGGTCAGCGTCCACCTGATGTGGTTTAAAGCCCGATTCCCTTACAGATTACCGTCTCTTGGATCTGACAGATGTGGGCGTGACATCAAGATCCTGCTTTTTTGATGAGACCAGATCTGCCAGCCTTGAACGTCCAGGATGAATGGTAAAGAACGCCAGAGATGGGAAACGTTTTGAATCTTGGGAGTGCAGGGGAATCTGTTCCCAGAAAAGAACTTTATATTGACAGGAAATCGTCCCACTTGGTAAATTCTCACGCGGCTCCGTTTTGCCTTCTAGGCTGAAAATAGTAAGCAGGACAAACCCTCTGCTCTTTATTACGCAATAGCAGTCCAGGTACTGAGGGAGGCTCCGGGCTTCTGGGGGTTTCAGCCACAATCAAATCTAACGCATACATTACATCTTGTGAATTCGTTTGCTGAACCCATTCCTTCCACAGTGAGAGTATTTAGGGGAAATAAGATGTCTGTGTTTTGACAACTGGGAAGTCTAAACTGGTGCTAGGGGATTAACCAAACCCTGGAAGACACAGGGATGTGGAGGCAGTAGCGTCCTGCTGTTTGCTTCTGAGTTCTCGGGGAACTCCTTCCCACCCTGCTATGTCCCCCCTCACCCCAGCCTTCTCTCTCCCCTCAGAATCACAGAACAGTTTCCCCACTCAAAAATAAAATGCAAACCTTCATCGAATTCCTCATTGTTCCAACAATCTGATCTGAATAAATAAATACCTTCCCCTCCGGGAACGCAATTTTCCTTTTAAAAGACTGTGTCTCAGACTAGCTGCTCCAAGATATTTTTCACCTCGCTACTAAAAACTGGAAGCTGGAAACGGGCGCGTGCTGTTTCTCTTGAAGGCACATTTATTGAAGTCATTTTTTTAACTCTCTGTACGCTGTGGGAATTGCACACTTGCGAACATATGGGGAAGAGGAATTTTCTCAGGCTGAACTTCCAACTGCCGTAGCCAGCAACTGTATTTTATAAACTGATAAAACAGGTGCAAACTACGCAATTTCCTGTCCACCAAGCTGACACTGCAGAAAGTAGTCTCCGGGATGCTGTACACGTAAGAAGAAGGAAGCTTCGATCGCAAGAGCACAGGAGAGGATGAACTGAATGAGAAAGTGAGTGGGCAAGGGGAACCAGAGTGCAATCGCGTGTGCCCCACACAGTAAACCAGCAAAGGGGAGACAAAAAGGAAAAATAATCCAGCCAATAAAATTCCACTTCTTAATAATAACCTTTATTGGTAAGACTTTGGCTTACCAATAAAGACACGCAGACTGGTTGGCTGGACTTAAAAAACTGCATTCGGCTGGTGGTAGATTCCTTTAATCGCAGCACTTGGGAAGCAGAGGCCGGCAGATCTCTGAGTTGAAGGCCAGCCTGTTTTGCAAAGTGAGTTCCAGAACAGCTAAAGTTACGCAGAGAGCTTTGAAAAAAGACCATCTTGAAAAAAAAAAAACAAATATATATAGTCTCCAAAAAAACACACCTTTTGGGTAAAGACACCTATGGGTTGAAAGTCAAAGAATGGAAGTAAAAAACAAGTTGTCATGGCTAGTCTGATGTCTGATAAGCATACTTCAAGTCAAAATTAGAAAAGATAAAGTAGATACTACATTATTAATAAAGGGAACAAGTGCTTCAAGAAATATAACAATCATAAATATATATTCACCACACAGTGGAGCCCTAATTTCATAAGGAAACATTAAAGGATGAAAAAAGTGAGACATGCCCTAATACAACAATTCTGTAGGAGACTTCAATACCCTCTTCATTTTTTTTGGTCTGTTTGTTTGTTTTGTTTTGTTTTTTTAAGACAGGGTTTCTCTGTCGCTTTGGAGCCTGTCCTGGAACTCACTCTGTAGACCAATCTGGCCTGGAACTCACAGAGATCCTCCTGCCTCTGGCTCCCGAGTGCTGGGATTAAAGGCGTGTGCCACCACTGCCCAGGCCTACCCTCATTTTTAACTAATGTTCAGTGATGTGTAACAGTATCCTCTGAGTTGAAACACTGTATCCTGGAGCAAGGCTCCTTTAAGACTCAGGACATTCTAAAAGAATGCTCAAGACTACTCAGTAAGCAACTCACAAGTCTTAGAAAATCCCTGAAACTTAACAGATTCACAAAGATTCATCCCCCCCCGCCATGAAGGTTATATAAGCAATAAGGATTGCCACAAAGAGGGGAGTCTCAAGCATGTTGAGCTGCTTTCAAGTCATACAAAGAACTCCAAAAACTCATTTCACAAGTAGTGAGTTGGGCTGATGCAGCTGACTCTAAATCATTGCTACTCACTCCTGTAGGTGACCCCAAAAGACTCACTGGCTCACCAAGGTAAACACTGGTAGACTCTATTCTTTGGTCTGTAATCAGTGCCCTGTTTGGGATGATATGAAATACGCACACCAGTTTTTTTCCTTGTAAGGAGCACTAATACAACTTGAATGTCTTTTTAAGAGTCACATGTGCAGCAGTCAGCATAGTGTCCAACTACCTTGTTTCCAGAGGGCAAGGAAAGAGCCTATCCACAGTGCTGGCCCTGGGCACCCTGGAGGTTAATCTGAGACCCCTCTTACAAAACCAGGCTTCCTCTGTTTCCTTTTTTCCTGGGAATCCCAGAAGTAGCCCCCAGAGAACCGTCTTCTGGAGGTTGGAGAAGCAAATGGCGGGAGGGCTGAGGGCTGTAGAAAGCCTTTGGGGACCCAGATCCCACCTGCCTGGGCTCCCTCTAGGTCAGTCCACTAGCCCTTTCCCTCAGGAGGCTCCAGAATCATGCCAAATTCCACCCCCCAATACCGCAGCTGCATGATGCCTCTGTTCCTCTCAGACCCTGCAGCTGATCGCCTGTTGGGCCGTCTCTGTCTGGTCTCAGGTGCGGTGTCTTTAGTCCTGATAGGCAGGTAGCCTACTGCTGCCACTTCTTGCGGATTCTTGGTGGGTCACTGTTGTGGGCTGTTCGTTTGTCACCTGCTTCTGACATCGAACTAGCGCAGATGCTTCTCCCAACATAGTCCTGCTGCCGTAGGGCCTCTTGTCCAACCTTCTCAGCATTCCAAAGGGATTGTGCTGAGTTTATTAGTCCCAAGAGGAAGCTAATCCTGGCGGTTCAAAGGTCTCTGGGGTCCCAAGAGGAAGCTAATCCTGGCGGTTCAAAGGTCTCTGGTCATTTCAGTCTGCCCAAGACGCACGGCAGCACCCGTCTGCCGCAAGTACCTGCTTTAAATCCAGTTGCGTCTTCCTTAGCCTGCCTGAAGTCACCGTCCTGTGGGACATCCACGAGGGCCACTTAACCCCACTCTCATTGGAGATGCCCTGGACGCGGTCACTGGCTGCGCCATACACCTTATTGGGCTTTGCCAAACTGAAAAAGAGACAAACATAAGACAACGTTTTAAATAATCAGAGCAAAACAGCCAAAACTCAAGAGAAAAAGAAAAAAAAAAAAATACACACAAAAAAGGCCCGATTAAGAAAAAACAAATCTTACAAAAGAAAAACAAAGAGGCAAAAGTTAAGTTGGAGAGACCACGGAAAGGTTAACATAAATCTAATTTCAGGTGTAGTACATTTGCATGGAATTTATATTAGGACCTCGTGGATCCAATAATGAACCTTTTCTCATTCAGTTGCATTTCCCTCGGCGAGGCAACAGGGGGCGCCAGAGGCCAGTGCACCATTGAGCAGGGCGATTCCTTAGCAGTTCTGTGATAGAAGAATAATGGTCTGCGTGGAAGGCTATGCAAAAACAAAATAAGTAAATAAATAAACAAAACAAAAATATGGTAGGTCGAGGGGGGAGACTATGCAAAAAAAACGGAGGGGGTGAGAGATTTCTTCATTGCATTCAGAATACAAATTTCTGAAGTTCTGTACAAGGAAAAAAGAAAGAAAGAAATTACAAGAATCTTTTTAAAGATGGAACTTTAAGCAGAACAGTATGAAATGACCGGAACAGGCCTGACCCTCTACCCTCAACCAGACATCTTGACTAGCACGGAACTTTAGCCAAGGCTGTGGGTCCTTTCCTGGTCAAGGTTTTCTCAGGACGGAGATCGAACGTTCCGATAAGCACTAATGGTATACGAACCGCAGCTGCTGCTGAACATGGTTGGCGTTCCAGTCACCTTAAATATTTTACAGGTAGCAACTGTTCCCTTCACAGCCCTCCGAGGCAGGTGTCACTGTCATCTCATCTTACAGAGGAAGGAACAAGCAGCCCTCCTTAGATCCCGCAAAGAAGCATCAGATCCGGGTTCAGGAAGAGCACGGGCAGAATCTGTGGTCGTTCGCAGCCATAGGTCTCTCACAAGTTCCTAGAAAGGAAAGCACTGACCGACCATTAGGGATACACAGAAGGAAATACACATCAATATTTGTTATTGTTATTAACACAGTGAGTGATACCTGTTCTCTAGGAGCTTAACATCTAGATAAGGAGTTTGGGACGATGAATGCATGAAAGATACCAAATGAATGAATTAATCTGTTGGTCATTCAAACCAACTCATAACAGAGGCATGTCAGCAGTCCAAAGAGGAGGATGGACAGAGCGACTGTCAGGACCTGGGTGGTAGCTGGCTCAGTGCCCTGTCTGCTTAAAATTTTACATGAGAAGCCTCCACGCCACAAATAGAAAGCAGCTTCCGAATCTATGTGGCTGATATAATTACACTCTGAATGTTTGATTACATGGATTAAACACATTTAAAAAAATCCTCACATGAGGTACCAAAATTCAGTCAGTTTGAATGCATTATAATAATAAACTCCAAGTTACCAATAATGTGTTGGTGTGGTGACATTAAGGAACAAAATCAAAGCACTGTCCCTTCTGTCATTTAACCAAGCACAAGCCCAGATTTTGTTTCTGTGCTTCAGAATCCTCATGTCTCCCTCCTTCTTATCTGTCTGTTGTGTAGGTCAGATGAATCTGTGCCTGCCAGAAGGCTGCCTTGTGACCCTGTGCCTGTCTGACCCTGTTCCTGTCTGCGGAATGTGGGGATATGTGTCTGTCTGAGTGACATTCCTAGCAAAGTCTTTCACTCTGTATTTATTGAACAATACTGAAAAACATCACATGAGGAAGGAACGAGGGACATTTCACAGAAACCTTGAGCAGTATTTTGCCAGGGATTATGTCACTGGCTTCGATTGATTCCAACTGACACAGATAACAAACGTCATTGTTTATCAAGCTATATCTGTATGTCGCGTTCAGCATTTATGGCGGATTTTCATTTTACAAGATTGCTTCCCACCTCTATTCTTGCTGCTTTCAGCAAATGACCATCAGAACACGCATGCCTGGTTCTAGGTCGGGGATGGAAGAGTACATAAATACAGATTAGAGCTGTGTACTAGCTCAGGCTGAAAAGGTGATCCCACTGCAAATCCGAGGCAAGTAAGGTTGATTCTCTTAACCCCTGTTAAACAAGCAGCCCGAGTGCACAGCAGGGTGGCCTGCAAGTGCACTGTTAACTTCATCCGTGGGGTCCTCTCAGCACAGTGCATTGCCACATTTGATCATCATATGGGGTTTAACTAAAATCATCTTCTTCACTCTCTAGAGCAATAGCACGGTATTTGGCCAAAGAAAGCACCTAGTTCTGATCTTGAGGGTCCATTATTAATTTCACAGATATATTTCTATTCACTCTGGAATAGGATTCAGGCCTGAACAGGATGTCAATTCACAGGCTGTGGAATAAGGAACATGGGCAGAAACACCATGTTAATTGAAACTTGAAGTCTGAGAGGGAGCCACTAGGCAATGATCCAGGTGGACCACATATTTGAACCTCACACTGGATCCCTGGAATGGGTTGATCCAAGGTGCTGTTGGGGAAAGGGCTCTGTAACTGGTGGAAAGAAACTAAGAGTTCCTGGGGCTGCGGGACTGTGGATTAGAAGCCGAGTGAACAGAT